GTTGTTGAGAGCTTCTAGCCATTGGTCAAATTATTAAAATTAAAAATTAAAAATGGTCAGCAACCATTTTTCGGGCAAGTAGATATGTTGCAGTCGCAAGGGGCGTCACCAACAACACTTAAGGGCTGGCATCTTTTCCTTTTGTGGTCTCACTAAGTTTCAAGGGTTTCAACCATGTACCTGCATTTAGGTTCAGCTCAAGCATTTAGGGCCTCAAATTTGGACCACTACAGCTGGTTTTTTTACATGGATTTCTATTTATTGGAGCCCAAAGGTGGTGCAACCCCCCTTAGAGCCCCTTGAGCCATAATGGGTCCTCATTCGCCCATGACGCGCACTTGCCCACATACTTGCCAACCAAACCAAATGTAAGCGGGGTCCACTAGTCACAAAATGAATAAAAAAACTTGATTCTTGTACTGTTACATGATCCAAAGGTTGTTGGTGATTTCAATATTTTATGAGAATATATCTACAGTCCAGTTTGAAACACAAGAAATGTCTTTTTTTTATTATTTATTTATAGGGAAATAGCCCAAAATGCCACCAATTTTTTAGTTTTAAGTGGAAATACCAAGCCTCCCCAAAAATTTTGCAAATACCACATATAAATATATATTTATTGTCCACTTATTGCCCACATAACACTTTTTCTGAAATTTAGTTCTCTCTCACTCTCTATTCTCTCTCTCACTCACTCTCTCTCTCTCTCTCTCTCTCTCGTGCAGTTGTATCTGTTCTGAATTGTCCCCATCTCTCTGTTGTGAATCTGGAAACCCCCCTATCGACCCCATCTTCTAGGTAAGTCTTTTGAATAACGTAAGGTCGCAGCTGCTTGCAACCTTGAAGCTCTACTCCATTGTTGACCTCCAATAGGTATTCTTGATGGTCATTTTCTTAGTCTCTGTGGAATTTTATGAAATTGGTTTAATTTTGATTGCTTGGGTTGCTGTGAAATTGATTTTATTTTAATTGCTTTGGGTAATGTTTTTTGAATCTTCATGCTCCTTGATCTGGGTTTTTACCAAATGCATTTAGATTGCTCTGGATATGTGAATCTTGAAACTTGGGATTTTCCATTTGATGTAGTAGATTTGTATAATCTGATTGTGATGAATCCGTGTTCAGTGTTGTGTTAGTGTTGTTTTAGTGCTGTTATATTGCTATTGTATTGCTGTTGTATTGCTGTTGTATTGTCATTGTATTGCCTGGTTATTGTGGTTGTATTGCAGTGATTTGGTCGTGGCTTCAAATGTGTTAATGAAATGTTGTTTTGTCATGGTAAAAAATGGAGACAATTGTTCTTCTGGTTTGCTACAATGAAAAATGGGTAACCTCATAGAAGATGTGCAAATACGAAGGGGGTGACTCAAAAGGCTTAATAGTACCACAGACCATCACATTTGCTGACTGTTGGATCGTGTGCATCAGATTGGTAATACAAACAACATGGAAGACAAGGTTTGCTTAAAGTTCTCAGTTTTGGTGGCCTCGAATGAGTGGAAGCACATAAAGGTGGATCCATTTCAACATTATAACTCTTGGCCCCAACACTTTTTAGGTTCAACAAATACAATAAGAAAATACGATGAAGCTATATGGTAATAAACAAACAAAGATGAAATTAATAATGAATTTATACAATGCCTGTGAAAATTTTGATAGAGGTGTTGGAACAACTTTTGTAGTAGGAATGCATATTGAATCAACACTACTTGAATGGTGCAATTCTATTTTTCGACTCCTTCTCTTCTTTGTCAGCTTCTCCAAAGCATTTTTTGGCCTTTTAGAACTACCAACAACTCTTTCTTTAACTTTGATTCCTCTAACTTTAATGATGTCATCATCAACATTGATACACTCATTCAACTCAGATCTACTATTAATTATTGGTGAGATCACTTTAGATGTTTCTTGACTTGATTTTTCTTTCAAACATGCATCCACCTCTTCAAATGTCTGGTTCAATCGCCGTATAACAATTTCATACACCTTACCACCCCTTGCTGCCCTCATTGCTAATTGAGTATGCAACCGACACAACTCTCTATAACGTCTTACAATTTCTGCCTTAGGGTCATTTGGACTTGAAAAAGAATTAATTTTGACACTCATAGCATTCACATTTTTTGTCCATCTCTTCAAGATGTAATGAGCTGGGATACTTTTAACATTTCTTGTAGAAAGCACCTTCAAGGCATGTGCACATAAGATTCCTGCAAACTCAAACTTCTTACAACTACATAAAGTTACATTATTTGTTGAGTCAAATGTAACTGTATGGTGCCAATTCTTCCCATACAGGATAACTTCATACTTGTTGATTGTACCTATCTCACCATTGAACTGCAAAGTACAATCATAAGCCTTACATAGCTCATCTTGAAACACTTTAAACACTTTTGGTGTATATACATTTGTTGCATACTTCAACATTTTTACGGGAAATGACAATGTTGGGGAAATTTGACTTGCTTTAAATTCAGCTTTCAACTCTTCGTAACGACGATCTTCGACCAACCTTTGGAAGTGTTGAAAAAATTTGAGCAAGTCATATTTGTAACTAACATGCTTTTTTATACAACTATTCATGCTTTCACTCTGCTTGGTAGTAGTAATATCTGCACAAAGTTTGTCGCCCATAAACTAACGCCCATTTCTCCCTTATTTTAAACATGCGACTCAACCAATCATTGCTCATGAGAGTATATTTTTCAAGCATACTATTCCAAGCATTTAGAAAATTATCTTCATCCTCATAATCATATATGCAACTGCTAAAATCTTTGCTAAAATCTTTGAACTTCTCAAAAACACAGCTAAAGTGTTTGGCTGCATTATGATATATGTGCCAAATACATAAACGATGAGATGTTTCTGGCTATTTTAAAGCTAATGCTGCAGATATCGCTGCATCTTGGTCTGTAAGAATGTTCTTTGGCTTTTTTCCATACACAGCCTTCACAAAAGTATCAAACAACCACGTAAAAGTTTGAATTGTCTCATCATATAATAATGCAGCACCAAATATAATAGTTTTATGGTGGTCGACACCAACAAACATTGCAAAAGGTCTTCTTTATTTTTTCTATAGGTAGTGTCAAAACATAGTACATCACCAAAATAATCATAATCCACCGTCATCCTCGCATCAATCCAAAAAATATTGGTGATCAAATCATCTTCATCCACTTGTATAGCATAAAAAAATTAGGATCATTCAATTGCATTTGTTGCAGATACTCTAACACACCACCTGTATCTCCTAACTTCATTTCTCTTGTTCGTTTTGAATGTAAATAGTTCCTGTAATCATCAGGAATAGATCCAAGACTTTCCCGACCACCAGCTTGTCTACTTAAAATTCAAGAGCTACTTTGGGAGCAATTCCTGAACTATCAGTCATATGAACTTCAGCTATGTGTGCAAGAGTGATCTTCCTATGAGACCTAAACAAATGAGTCTTAGACGGACTTGTAGTCACATGGTTATGTTCATAAACAAATTCTATGACACGATACTTCTCATTCAAATGACAACTAATTTTCATCCTTGCTAAACATCCACATCTTGGCTCAGCGTGATGATACTTCACATTAGAAATACGCTTATCAATTTCACGCTAAGTGAACAAAAAGCCTGTCTCTCAACTGACCACTTTTGAATTTGTGACATCTACTTCTTCTAATACTAAAATCAATATTGTATGCATATGCGTTGTAAAATTTAAAAGCCAAGTCTTCTGTCTCAAACTCTATCCCAATCACAGGAATCAGTTGCTTTCGAATGCTAGAATTAACCAAGTCTATTTTTTCGTTACCTTTCATAGCTTGTGATTACTCTTCGTTGCTTTCATCTTCTGAAATATTCAAGTCAGGGCTTGTTTCACCTTCTCCATCTTCCATGCATTTATTTTCCAGATTCATGTCCTTCAAAAATTGAATCAAACAAAATTTATACATCTAAAATATCTTCCATAACAATAAAAAATTACAATTGATTCAATAAAAATTCAACATAGCTAAGTACTGTACAATCATACATATATGTTCATATTAGTTATTGATGAAACTAGAAAATGGACGTAGATGAAAACCAAAACAACGAGCTCCAATCCCTTATATTTAATATCAGAAAAAGTAAATCAAAACACGCAAAGTATCGGAAAAATTGTAAAAGAAAAATCAATATATTTTATATAAATTGTTATTGTAGATGAAAACAAAAAGGGAAAGAAGATTGAAACCAAATGGATTTGATTCAAATGAATTGCATATTGGGTTTATGATTGTCGCAAGTTATATGGTTATACGTTTCTCATATGATGGCTAAAAAACCAGCAGTCAAAAAGCAGAAGAAAAAGAATTATGAAGAGCAGAGCGTGACTTACCTGATGAACCAGCAGCCAACGAGCGAATTAGAAAAACGAACCATATGCAGGGTCGGAGTTTCACAAAGTGGAGACGATGAAGCGGTTGAGTTTTGCAGTGCAAAGAAGATGTAGGGGTTGAAGTCTGATTGCATGTAGCGTAAAAGATAAAGCGGCGTGCAAACGTGTTTTTGTCAAACTTGTATTCTAATATAATATATTTTAATTCTTTCAATTAAAGAAAAAAAAGGCTAAAAGAGAGTTAACATAACTAAACTCCTGTTAAGTTGTGTGCCACATGTCGCAAAACTAAGGGGGAAACAGGGGCATATAAAATTTGGTAATAGGAAAATTGGACTCCTTTTTGTATTTTCTTTTGATGTATATGGTTTGGACGTTCTGTTTTTGTAAATGTACTTTTCTCTTTTGAAAATATGATAAAACGATAAACTATCCAAAACAGCCCAAAAAAGGAAAATAAAAGAAAATAACATTTTAGAACTCTAATCAATTCTGTTAAAATCTATGATAATATTCTAACAAACACCATTAAAATCAATTTAGCAATTTAGTCAAACTCTGTGAAGTTTATAGAAATCAATTCAAATTAGATTGAACTTTATAACTTTATAACCACATTGAACTCTTCTAAAATCTTAATTGAACATAGACCCCTCCTTAACTTATTAAATTGGTTCCACCCCCTAGCAGCGACGCGCTCTGAGTTTTTATCCTAAAACCCTAAACCCCAAATAATCTGCCTTCAGACTCCGTACAATGGCGTCCACGCTCAAACTACCAGCCAATTGTGTCGTTGTTCAGCAACAGAGGCGGGCAGTCTTAGCTAGAGCGGGAACCAGTAGATTAGATGCTACTGGTTTCAATTGGAAGCAAAGAGTTTCATCATCATCATCATCGGCTATGAATATGATCCCAAAGATGTCAATTTCAGCCATACCCAATCAAAGTCTTGAGAAGTCTTTGCCCAAGAACAAGATTGACATCCCTATCATGGTATTTTGTTGTATCTTTCTGTTTCTAGTAGCTACATTGCTTGCTGGGTTCATAATTTCAGTTCTTATAATGAGTCAGCGAAAATTTCAAATGTGGATGTATGGATTATTGTAATTGCTGCTGCGAAATTCATGAATTTGTGTTCAATTTGTCGAACAGGTAAACTCATGTAGTGGGAAAATGGGGAAGGCCATTATACAAGCAGCAGATTCTGCAGGACTCAGTGTGGTTCCCGCATCATTTGGCTCTGCCGAGGAATCGGGGCAAACCTTCCAAGTTGGCGCAAACGAGATTCTGATCCATGGTCCTGATGAAAGAGAAAGAACCCTTGCATCTCTTCTCGAGAAGTATCCCAATTTGATTGTGGTGGACTTCACTGTGCCTTCGGCAGTAAATGGTAAATAAATAACACAGGTTTGGAACTCTATTTTGACTTATTTTTGCTTAAAATCTTTTCCATTGCATGGTTAGTAAATATTGTAGCTGGCTTTGTGTCTTCATTCATTTGGATATTTTTCTATCGTGTTCAGATAATGCAGAACTATATTGCAAAGTTGGAGTGCCATTTGTGATGGGAACAACCGGTGGAGACAGGGATCGGTTGTACAAGACTGTAGAAGACTCACAAGTCTATGCAGTAATATCCCCACAAATGGGAAAACAGGTGCTCAGAATTTTGTGCTTTAATGTTTTCTATTATTGTTTACTACTGTGGGGGCTTACCTTCCATATCCTAATAGTCGTTTGGTATGAATAGGTTGTGGCATTTCTTGCAGCCATGGAAATTATGGCCGAGCAATTCCCTGGAGCTTTCTCTGGGTATTCCTTACAGGTATTCACTTTTTTCTTGTAATTTGTTACAAATGAAAACTATAGAAGTAGAGAGAGTCTAATTATTTGACCAAGTTCATATTTCAGTATATTGACATTCATTTATCTGGTGTGCTATATTTTTCTTTTTTTATCATAACTAGCATTTATCTTATCCTTCCTATCTATGAAACCTGCATTTCTTTCCCTTCCAAATGAACTCTGAACGAAGAAAAGGATTACTTTCATGTCTCAGTTAAACCTTTTGTTTTTCTAGCGGTATCTTTTTATTCAATGGATTAGTGTTCATTTTTCTAGCGATTCATTTTTCTGTTTTCAGTTTCTGCGTGCTTTTCCCCTCCCTTGAATTGCATAAACTAATCTTGCAACTCTGCACACTTTTGTTCATTGTTAATATCTTTGAAAACAGCAAAATGTTATAAATTTTCAAGGTGCTTGTTTTCTATGCCTTATTCATGTTGCTTGATGCGGCTTAATCATGTTTTTAAATTTCAGGTTATGGAATCCCATCAAGCAAGTAAAGTTGACACATCTGGAACTGCAAAGGCTGTTATTTCTTGCTTCCAGAAGTTGGGTGTGTCCTTTGATATGGAGCAGGTATGCTACAGGATACATAGTTAATTATACCTTCGGATAATTAGAAATGGTTAACCATAGCATCTGTTTTTCTCATCCTTTTCCCCTGCGTTCCTCACTTTTTGTTTGTTCATCTGAAGCTATTCAATGTGGCCATTAACTTGAGTACCTTTATGTCTGGCAAGGATATTGCGAATGATAACGTTATAGCTGCATTTCACTACTTGTGTTTGGGATACATGCATTTTAATAGGTGCAGACATAAAGAAGAAATAATGGCATTGATGCAGGACAACGAGGGATAAGTGTAGAAAAGATTGATTCTAGTTTGACATTAAATCTTTGAAGGCTGTAAGATTGTAGTGAGACAGAACAACAATGCTTTTATGAAACGAGGAGAGAAAATTATAAGGAAAGGATAGAAACTACTAGAACCACAGAAGTAGGGTTCCAGGAATCACACCTAGAGGCCTTAGGCATGACACTTAGGCGGGTTGCATCACACAAACCAAGAAAGAAGCAATTCTCCAACTGAAAGCAGATTAGTAACAGTGGTGGCTGTATGTATTTATATTAGTACAAGATGAGATACATGAATTCAAATTTCAAAACAGTTACACCATTGTACGAGCTAACCAACCAGAAATCAAGGAATTAAATCTAAGACAGAGAAATTCAAAACAACAATAGAAGCAGTCACAAAGTTTCAAATATTTTGATGTAAATCTTATCAGTAACAACCTGTCTGGGTTGATTATCAGGCCAGTCCCCTTACATGAAATACCAAATACTTAGAAAGTTTTATATAATCCTTCAGCATTTCATTTTTATCTTCAATCTTTGACAATTTTATCAGGTCCAATTGATCCGGGATTCCCAGCAACAATTAGAGATGGTGGGAGTTCCAGAGGAGCATTTGTCTGGTCATGCATTTCATATGTATCATCTGAGTTCACCTGATGAAACGTAATACGGAATATTCCCACTCTCTCGCTCTCTCTCTCAAATTAGTTTTAATTCTATTCCATTGACTTAATTCCCCCTCATTTTTGCAGAGTTTCTTTTGAGTTTCAGCATAATGTTTGTGGTAGATCAATATATGCAGAGGGCACAATTGATTCTGTAATTTTCCTTGCTAAGAAGGTGTTTAAGCTTTTCCATCTCTCTTTTATTCTACTACTTGTTACAGTGCTTATAATGGTTAAATTCTTACTAAAATTACTATCTGATATCGATTATTTGGCAAGAATACTGTTAACATACATTTGTTTGTTTAGTTATAGTACTTGTAGGATAATGCACTCCTTCATTTTCTGATATGATATCTTGCATCGATGCAGGTTCATTCGAAGGCAGAGAAGCGGTTGTACAATATGATAGATGTCCTGCGAGAGGGTAACATGCGATGATAGTTGGCTTTGTACGAAGGACGTTGTCTGTATTAGTCTATTTATTAGCTTACAACAGTTAAGATTCTGGTTGAGTAAGATAGGGATGTAAGTTTCGGATTAGCAATTTCAACCTTATCTATGTTCTGTTGTTATTTTCCTTCCAGCTTGTGTTTAGAGCATTAAAATTTGTAGTTTCGTCGAAGGAAATAAAGAGTTTATCTATTTAAACCTCACACTTTTCTTTGTTCACCCAAATCCTTAAATCATTAAGCTCTTAAGTTTTATTATTGTGTAAAAAGATAAAAAAGGTCATCCAACTTAACACTTTACTCTAGTACATCTACACACATTATACACCCCACCGCTCTTCATATTAAGTTTTAGAAAAATACAAACTCCTCAACACCCTATTGTCAGATTACTCTTTTCTTTCAATTCAACAAACCTACTACACTCTCATCTTCTCTTCACAAACCCTAAATACGGCAAATCATAATCAAATAAACAAATCAGAAATAATAATAATAATAATCATAATCAAATAAACAAAACTGGAGGGGAAAAAAACCAGACCTTGAATGCGAAGCAAAGAAACAATGCCTACCTAAGCCTTTGATTGATACATAATCTGGAAATTGCCGCATGGGTTTGCTTTGTTGAAGAAGAAACTAAAAAAAATTTAAAAAATTTAATAAAAAAATAATTTTGCTGCACATCTGACAAAAGTGTTTTTTATCTCTTTTAAGTAATGTGAGGTTGAGGTGAACATAGAGTGGTGAGAGGCAAAATAGCGATGTGTGAAGTTGATGAGTTTTTTATTTTATTTTTTATGCTAGGTGTATATTTAGGGGTAGTTTGGGAAGATAGTGAGGTTTTCTTAGAAATTATGAAAATTTGATTAGAAGTTAGGGTGAATTTAGAATATGGGATGAACAAAGAGAAGTACGGAGTTTAAATAGAAAAACTCGAAATAAAAATAGAGTGGTGATTTCCCCACTCCAATTTTGTCCACTTACACTCCATTTTATAACTGAAAAAGGAGTGTAAGTGGTCAAAATAGGAGTGGGGAAATCATTACCCTAAAAATATAACAAGGTTTAGCAATAAATTATAAGGCCCAATTGAAATTAAAGGCCAACAGAAACTAAATAGAGAAGCAAACGCAACCTTGATGGTGTGGCATTTATTAGGACATAAAATTTCTGAAATTTGTTAGAACCCAACCCAAACCGACTGGTGAGATATACAGAGCCTTTCCTCTCTCTCTCTCATATACAAAATTCTTAACTGGCTCACATGGTGGTTGATAAATGTTGTTGACACATACATCAGTCCCTCTTTTTTTTTTTTGTTTTTTGGAAACCAAAGCATATTCTCACCTTTTTACATATAATTTTCGGTTCGAGTGGATAAATATTTCTTAATTTTATTTGAAGGGTGTTCACCTGTTCCTCCTCCCCGATTATCGGCCAAAAAGAACATAAAAAGGAAACTTCCCCTCAATTATCTCCTCTGACCATATAGATCACATATATTTTAACCTACTTTGAAACGTTCCCCATTTAATTTCTATCTATCTCTCCCTCTCAAGCAATGTCCGACGACCCCTCCACTTCCTCCACCCTAGAAGATGATCAAGAAACCATCAATTCCACCACCACCACCACCATCACCCCAACCCCAACAACTACCGCTTCAGTCTCAGCCTCAGCTTCATCACATAACTCATCCCTCTCCAAATCCCAATCAGCAATCCAATCCCTCTCAACCATTCTCCCCTCCCTCCCTCCTTCCCTCTTCTCCTCCTCCAACCCTGCCCGCTCCCTCCTCCATGACGACCACACAGCCTCCCACATCTCCTCCCTTCTCCGCCAACCAGACTCCGGTGCAGGCGACAACAACCTCTGCCGCTGGCTCTACGACACCTTCCAATCCTCCGATCCCGACCTACAACTCCTCGTCCTTCGCTTCCTTCCCATCATCGCGGGCATCTACATCTCCCGTGTTGCCCTCCGTGTACCCCTAGCCGGCTTTGAGGCCGTCCTCTTAGCCCTCTACGCCCACGAAACCACAACACGTTCTGGCCACTCCATAACCGTCAGTGTCCCCGACTTGTCTCATCCCAGTCTCTACCATGAAACCAATGCACCCACTAAAAACAACTCCACAGGCCTAAACTTGGCCGTCATATCTCCAAGTTTGGAACCCTGCGGTACAGTGAGGTCCACAAGGAGGGCTAGGATTGTTGGGGTTGCACTGGAGTTGTACTACAGCAAGATACATGAAATGCCCGTGCAGTCAAAGATCGAATTTTGCGAGTTTTGTAGGGATTGGGCTGGCCAAGACGGCGAAATGTACAAGGAGATGACTGGTAGTAGCTGTAGCAGTAGCAGTGAACGCAAAGAAGAGGATGGAAATGGAGAAAAGGTGGGAAGCATTCCTTTGCCATGGGAATTGATGCAACCGGTTTTCAGGATTTTGGGTCACTGCCTTTTGTGTCCAAACCAAAACAAGGAGTTGGTTGATAAGAGCAGTGAGGCTTGTAGGAGTTTGTATGCCAGGTCTATGCATGATATCAATCCCAAGGCTATTTTGGCCACTGGGAGTCTTCTTAGGCTCACTAAGCAAGCATTGGACTCTAACGACGATATTGATCGAACTGAGATTCCTAAATCTCGAGTTATTAGTATCTAGGTTCTCATTCTCCTCCTGATAATCTCTTTATTTTCTCATGTCAATAAATTATAAGTTGAGTTATAATAAATTATAAGTTAATTTTTAAAACTTTATTCTAAGACAATATGAAATCCCAAGTTTATTTCCCCCATCCAAATGCACCGTTATAGTCCTATGTACTTTATTCTCTCTTGTAGGGTTTTGATCAGTGTTTCAATCTATACATATATATATTGAGCTGACTTGGTGGACCACAACAAGATTGATCAGTGTTTCTTATAATCAATTCTTACATGTTTTGGGTTCCTTGTAATTATATTTGTTGATGTGTTCTTTTTTATTTATTTATATAATTCTTGTAATTATATTGAAATGATTGTTGATTTGTTGATGTGTTAATTTTTTTTTTTTTTTGAAGTCATCTTCTAACCTTTACCTACGCTACCTCCTCTCCTGCAGTATCTCTATATATTTTCAGCAATTCCATTTTCCCTTAATCAGTTTTGGAATTTCGATGCAAGTATATATGATAATACGTATATTAATGTTGATTGACGTCACATATTTACATTGATGTAAACACCTCCAAGCATCTCTATTATCTATAAAGGCATCAAAAATTGTACCATGGTGAGTTACCCCATTGCACATTGCAATAAAAGCGTGTCGTTTGCCAAATATTCGGGGTCGAAACTCCAACTAGTTTCTTGACCGTCTGCCAGAATTTGCAAGCCAAGATCATTGTCTGCAGATTTGCAGTGAATGTTCATGCTTCGCCCGCCCCCTAGCTTGTTGGTAATTCGGACAGTCACTCTTGGCCATGGCCACTGATAAACACATAATTATTACAATTTCTATCCCTAATCTATATTTGTTAGTACTTTGTTTTAATGAATTTTGCACCAATTAGAATGTTCTTTTACATTTTACAAATACATTTGCACTTCATTGAAATAAAGGCTAATTCAGTTGAATTTTCTATTAGGTTGCTCTCTCTTTGCAAGCAGCCCAAGGAGAGAAAAGAAATGAAGCCCAAACTCCAGTCTATTTTCGGCAGTCAGCTTGCAAGGCCCAAAACGTATACTTGCACTACTCAGATGGGAATGCATTCTTCATGAAAGTTGTTCCAATGGGTGTCTATTATAACATATCCAAATTTGAGCCCCATTGGATACGTATTGAAACCTGTGGCCTTCCTACACCAGGCCTGGTTTAGAGGAATTCGTTTTTCCAGCAACACATGTGCAGCAGCAAAATAACTTTATTTGTCACATCCCGGGATCGGCTCCTCCGTAGCACGATATTGTCCGCTTTAGGGCCCCCTCTCTGCCCTCACGGTTTTGTTTTTGGGAGCTCACGAGCAACTTCCCAGTGGGTCACCCATCCTAGGATTGCTCTAGCCCCCAATTCGCTTAACTTCGGAGTTCCCATGACTCCGAAGCCAGTGAGCTCCCAAAAGGCCTCGTGCTAGATGGATGCAGGCATGTACATATAAGGCACATCAACCCCCTCTCCGTTGGTCGATGTGGGATCTTACATTATTAGCTAGCAATAAAGACTAGCAACACATGGTTTGACAGCAAATAAAGAGCCAGACCTCCATGCTAAAAGAAGAATGGGCAGCACCATGTGTGCAGCTGCCAACATGTGAAGATGATGATTATGTTGATGCTTTAGTTGCTTTCCTTCCTCTATAAATAGAAGGTAATGCAAAGAGAATGAGAGTAGAATTGTAGAGCAGATTTTAGTAGAATAGAGTGCAGATTTTGTGCAATTCTTAGGCACCAAAGGGAGAGGAAAAATGGCAATATAATTGGAGAGAACCTCGGGGAGCCATGAGGCAAGGAACCAAGGGGTTGATGATGCAATTTTTCCTTCTCCTCTTTGTTCTTAATTCTTATCTTGTATTGTTATTTTATTTATGTCTAGTTAAACTTTGTTAATGATGAAATACCATTATGAAATGAAGTTCTAGTTTTTAACTTTCAATTCCCAACTATTATATTCTTCAATGTTTATAATTTCACATTCACATGATTAATAGGTTAATTTTCTTTTCACCGAGAGAACCTCGGGGAGCCATGAGGCAAGGAACCAAGGGGTTGATGATGCAATTTTTCCTTCTCCTCTTTGTTCTTAATTCTTATCTTGTATTGTTATTTTATTTATGTCTAGTTAAACTTTGTTAATGATGAAATACCATTATGAAATGAAGTTCAAGTTCTCAACTTTCAATTCCCAACTATTATATTCTTCAATGTTTATAATTTCACATTCACATGATTAATAGGTTAATTTTCTTTTCACCACTTCTATCATGTATTTGTGGTAGCTAGTTAGGAATACAAGTTAATCTATTAATGCATCCTTGATTTTGTATTACTAATATACAATTTTCTTTGATCCCTTGTAGTTAAACAATATTTTTCACATAGGATAACTTAGAATTTGTAATTATGAAGGGAAAAGGAATTTACATAAGATTCATAAAAATGCATGCTTAATTGATATATCTTGAGAAAGTAGTAAATTGATTTCTTGATTGCTACTTCGTGGGAATTGTTAGAGTTTATAGAATAATGGTATGGAATCTAAAACCTTAGTGTTTCCCTATTTTAGTTTATTTGCATTTTCAATTCTTTGCTTTATTTCTTTTTCTTTTTCAACTTTGAATTAACTTGGGTTGGTTTGATTTCTTGATTGCTACTCCGTGGGAATTGTTAGAGTTTATGGAATAATGGTATGGAATCTAAAACCTTAGTGTTTCCCTATTTTAGTTTATTTGCATTTTCAATTCTTTGCTTTATTTCATTTTCTTTTTCAACTTTGAATTAACTTGGGTTGGGTTTGTTTTCCATCTTTTTCACGCACTCCCTGTGGGTACGACCTCGCACTTACACACGCTTATTCTACAAACGATTCGTGCGCTTGCGAGTTTTATAAATTTGAAACATGCACCTTCGGGTGGCCAACAGCCACCTGCAAGCTTTGTTGGCAAAGCAAAAATAAAATAAATATTATAAAATTGTTTATAGTTTTTATTTTCATAAAAACTGTACTCAATATGAAATACAAAGGTAGTGAAATGAAGACTGTGCAAGGCCGCAGTTTTTGTATGAAGCTTTCGAGTATGCTCATGTTATTTATTGAAATCTTCGTTTGTTCGTTATTTTTGTTGTTTATTACGTACCTATCTGTGAGTTATATGTTTTGCAACTTAATTCTCAACATGTTTAAGAATACCAAGCTAATTTACTTTTTTTGTTTGAATTATCAACAGTAACATCTGGTCCTTTTGGCATAATTTAATTTTTACATTATAACCATACATTTGTGTAGTTATCACTCTTGAATTAGTTAGTCTACGAGCTATGAAACTTTTTAATGTTTTCCATGAAACCCATGATGAAGGCAAAGCGTATATGATGATGCAGATGATGCATTCCACTTCATCTATTTTGAGAAAAAGATGATAGAATATTGCATTTATAATTGAGGCACAAATGTCGTCAGCTACAACAGCCGGTACAAATACAAATAGCCACACAAGGTTATTACAAATACAGAAGCATAGTAACCACACAGGTTACTACAATTCCACTTCATCTTAGCAAAGGGATATGGCGCATTGGGTAGCACTACAAAAAAAAGTGGCAACAACTATCATTATTTGGTGACATTTGGTGACTGTTGTGGGGGTTACTAAAGGCTTTAGTCACTAAAAAAAGCCAAAAAGGTGACTAAAAGCACTTTTAGTCATCAAAAAAGTCAAAAAAGGTAACTAATTCCTTTTGTCAAGACCACAGATGTAACCAAATAATGGTGACTGTTGCCATTTTTTTACTAGTGTAGATATCCAATCATATAAAACAAAGCAGGATATGTCAATGAAAAACTATGCATAGCTCACATGCATTCATATTTAGTATGTACTATAGGACATCTCTAGGAAGCCTAACAAACCCCAAAAGCGTCCTCAGCCACAAGGCTTGCATTGCAACAGCAGCAAGTGGAGAAAGTAGTTCATCTTCTTGCTTCACACTCATCGCGACGTCTCTTAGTTTTATGAGCATCTTCTTCCTCTACTCTCTGTTCTGCCGACACGACACGACATGAGATTTTAATTTCTCAGCATCTTGGGCATACAGCAGGCTGATCCCACACTTCTTCGTCTTCACCTGGAGATGGTAAACGGGCCTGTAGGGGAGATCATTCATATCCATTTGGAAGTCTGCAGGAAAAAACGGATCCTTGTACAAGTCTACAGGAAGATACTGATCCATTTGGTAGAAGTCAAATGAGGTATCAGTGACACGGTTGCCTGTTAGGGGAGAAGTTTGTTGGTACTATACACACAAACAAGTGATCCGAATCGAAATCAAATAAAGTCATTGCTTTCTGTATACTTAATAGGATACCCATACTCAGCAAAGGCATCACCATTGCATTCAAAGCCAACACAACATCATCTACTTTATATTTGGGTCTACAATTAAGCGCCAAACACCATGTAGCACCGCCCAAATGTTTAGAAGTATAGTTGTCGAAAGCAACAACAGATACAGCACAGCCGAGGAAATCAGTACCAAGAGAGTTTGAAGGAAGCTTGATTTTTATGGAAGATCCTTCATTTTGATAGATGAACCAATTTGGAATTTCATTTCCTGGACATACAATGTAAACTGAGCCAAATCTTTCCTGTATCAACACAGGAGAGAGAGAGATGATTATTTAACTCAAGAAAACATAGGAGAGAAACCTTTCAGTTTAACAACACAAGAGAGAGAGAGAGAGAGAGAGAGAGAGAGAGAGAGAGAGAGAGGGAGGGAAGGAGGCACATACATATTCTCTTTCTTCTCTTAACTTTGATATTGCGGTTGCCATTGGCATAATTCTGAGATGTACATCAGCCATTATGTTGCTACATGCATTCTGATCCAGGTTCTGGCAATTAGAAAATAGAAATTTCTCGTCAAGCCTGATTAAAGGTAAATATTCACCCCAACCCTGTGTGAGCGCTGTCCTCGAAGTTGACGCTACCGTCTTCAATGACGTGCAGCCATGTGCTTCAACACAAGTTAGCACTGGGAGCTCTGGTAAAGAATGAAGGCTCTTGCAATTGGATAAGTGCAGGATAGACAGCTCAGAAGATTGTTTGATGGTTGCAGGTATGCTCTCAATCATGGTTCCACTTAGATCTAATTCTTGCAATGTGGTTAAGCAAACGAGGAAATCAGGATTTCCTTGAAACGTTCTGTTAGAATTATCAAACCCAGATAGATCGGCTGCTTCGTCAAAGCAACTCTCCACTTGTCCACCTTGTCGATACTTTCCTTGAAACGTTCTTCCAGTTGTGCAAATGCATCTGCATAACTCCCCTGCTGTTTTCTTACATGTGATGGATCGATGTCGTAAAATATGGGTATAACAAACTGCCCATCTCTTTCCTTGCATCCATGTATATGTGCAAGTTCATCCAAACACCAAGTGGAAGAAGCATAGTTTTGTGAGAAAATGATTACCGAAAGCTTTGAGTTTTGGATTGCTTCGAGAAGGGCAGGTGCAATTTCATCTCCTCTCTCAAGATTGTTATCTATGTAGGTCTGAATTTTCTTCCCAAGTAAAGCAGCACGAAGATGGCTGGTAAAAGTATAGCGGGTGTCCTCCTCACCTCTGAAACTAAGAAACACATCGTGCTTTCTTTGAGGGGAGATTGCAACAACGGAAGAAGAAGCAGCAGCTATATAGATAACCTGCAAGTCAAAACATGGCAATGCATTTGGACTAGCTATATGTAAATTGGCTTTATATATGCCTACAGTTATCATGCATTTGGACAGAAATATATGCTACTGTTATCTTGTGCGGATGAATTTTAAATTGGAAGTCCTAATCAGAACAGAAATCATGGATATTTTAGGCTTCTGTGCCAATGAAAGTCAACTTTGTAATTCAAATTCTTTTGGATGAAAGCCAACTGTAGTTGTACCCACTATGCATTCTTTAATTATAAACAACCAAGTAGACATTGAAAACCCTAAAATTCATCTGCACAAGATAACAAAAATACCAAGTAGACATTGAAAAACCTAAGACTCACGCAACCCAAATCCCTGCTTAGGCCTAGGTGCCACCGGCGGATAGATACAGAAGCCAGTGAAGGCTATTGTCCCTACTTAACATTCATGCTACTCATTAAAATGCTATAGCATCTCATTGTTTTTTTCTTTTTTATACGTTTCCCAAACTGCTCCATGGAAGCTCTCCACCAAGTTTTTTCACAATTAAGTTGTATGCGAATGCAATGCTACTATGGCATAACCAAGTTTGGTTAGAATGTCTCTCTCTCTGCTCAAAAGCAATTCTTTTGTAACCTAGCTCAGTGGAAAATGACATTGCTTGGTTGATTGCTTTTTTTTTTTTTTTTCCGCACTCTTGGCTGTTGATTGCTTGGTTGTTTTGATTTTTTTATTTAAAATTTATACCTGATGTTTTCGTAAAGCTGTTCTCTTTCTCTGGATACAAAACAGTTTAGCTCCTTTATCAGCAGATCCCCACGGCGACTGGAACGGTTGCATATTAAACCTTGCAAGTCCCAAATGCAATTTCAAGGTCACAGGCGTCCCATATATGAGGACTTGTTTGAGCTCTTAAAACTTGTAGCAGCTTCAGAAACAAAGTAACTAAAACCTGTAAATATTATGACATTGTTTTTCTTGAAACATGATTTAGGAACCAAATGTTGGATGCATTAAAACAATTCTCAATGTCCGATCAAAATGGGATGTTCAAAAATTCATGTGATGTTTGCTAAAATATGAATATGTGGGTTTGAATATGTTAGGTTAATTTTATTCTTCTCCATAAGGAGGTATATATAAGGATTTACATAATTGCTTTACAAGGAATTAGATACAATAAAGGATTAGGAAAGTATCTCCTAATTATACAATGATTTATCAATTATATAAAATAGGAAAGTAAATCCTTTAATTAATCAAGGAAATAGATCTCCTTGATTAATTAGGAGACTCACGCCAACACATAAGTCTTTGATGATTGCTTGGCTGTTGATTGCTTCTTTTTTTTCTTCTTTTTTTCTTTTTTTTTTTGGTGCACTCTTGGTTGTTTTGATTTTTGATTTAAAATTTATACATGATGTTTTGGTAAAGCTGTTCTCTTTCTCTAGAAAGTATTAAATTTTGGATTTGGGTCTGTTTAATAGGAGGAGCAATGAGGATTTAGCTTGTAAGTACGTAATTGAGCAATGAGTTTGGGTCTGTTTAATTAGGTAAAGCTTCTCATTCTCTTTAGTTAGAGATTTGTATAAACTTAATACATATGTAATTTTTGTAAACAAGAAGGTTATAATTGAACACACTTGTAAGTACACTTTGAGTCTGTTTAATTAGGAGGAGCAATGAGGATTTAGCTTTTCTTTGCGTATACAGTCAACGTACGAGTGTTATTATAATTATCAACACAATCTAGAAGAGGTATGAACATATATATACATTCCTAACCAGCTGTTTTTTTGGGTATTGATGCAGCTGTTTTTTTTTTGGCAGCCAGACTTTTGTTCCAAGCCATGGTACCAGGACAGAAAGTGTTTTGGACATAACTAAACAATTCTCAACTAATGAGGTAAATAAACTATTATTATGATGTTGTAACTTCTGAGTAGTTGATAATCTTTTACAACTACCATATATGCTTTTATATAGATATTTAATAATTGAGAAGTATTGCTTAATTGGAGTCGTGCGCAAGGACGAAAGTGTGGCATAGTAGTTGTCATTAAAAGGTCTGATGGAGCTGGAAAAATTATAATGAGGAGGGCTAGAGTTACTTTAGGTTGTGAGAGAGGTGGACATTATATTAAGAAGCCTAATGTAGATTCAGATAATGAACAACCAATGAATTCTGAAGCATATGTAAGTATTGATCACCGGAAAAAAAACGTCCTAAAAGCACTGGTACAAAGAAGTGTGGTTGCTGTTTCAGCTGAAGGGGTTAAATTTTGGTCCTGGAGATGAGAGGAAAGTTGAGGTTGTATGTAGAGTTCATAACCATCATTCTGCTGAGTATCTTGAAGGACATTCATATGCAGGACGATTAATAAAAAATTTCTATTTATAGCTGGCAGTTTTGCCTTGTGAAATTTGTTTGTTGTTTTAACTATACATTTGACGACTTTATTTTGTTTTGACAGCTACACTTGCAACCACACCATCCTATGCCACCTGTTATTAAACGTTGGCTTGATATTTCCAACCTCAAAGCATTTGATTGGTATAGTCTATATCGAGATGGCATTGACAATTGGAAAGAGCTTACCGGTTCATTTGATGTACATCTTGATGTATATTGATCCTTTACTATTAGATGTTTTGTCACAATAATTTTATTTTCATCCGACCTACTGGGTCTTGTAAACTTTTATAAAGTTTTATCAGGTTACACCTTCTTCCCTGTTTATCTCCTATAAAATATATGTATGCTTTTGTTTCGATGTTACAATTGAGTTAGAGAGGAAGTGAAACTATGAATCAACCCAAAGTAAGTGCCTAAAGCTTCAGTACATAGTGTTTCAATGTTTGAAAACCCCAACAATTGGCATTCGGAGGTAGAAATCAAATAAGAATCACATATTATGCACAAAAATTTACCAATCTATAAATTAACATTGTCAACAAATCAAGTGTGTCAAATTCGTTTCACAATTTGACCCATTTGGTCAGGAGACTTGATCAGACTTAGCGGCTACTTACACCATTGCGTGTTTCATACTTTTTTCTTTTTTTTGGTCGAAAAGATAATGATTTCATTACTGAAGAAAGCTCCAAAAGGGAGACCAGTACAAACAGCAATGAAGCAGCCCATGCAAACATACACGCATGAAACAAAGAAACCAAGCCACAATCTAAACTGATCAAGATGAAAAGAACATGACAGAAAGTCCAAACGCAAGGACGTCTAAAATAAAATCTAGACCAGTCGCAACCCACTTAGGAGAGATGAGGGCAGGGAAGGCCGTCCTTACATAGAATGTGCACAAGAGAGGTGGGGGGTCTCTCAACCCAAACTTCCATGCTCCTCCTCGATAGTGCAAGCAACGCAAGCTTATCCGCCGCTTGATTGCCAAACCTATTAGTCCAATTCCATGAACACTCCTCAAATCCCCGTTGCTCCTCACGGATGAGGGTAAGGACGGGATAAAGGTTCCATCTCCCTCTGCCAATATTCCCTTTGACACAATTAATTAGCTCCAAAGAGTCAGACTCAAAGCATACCTTAGTGAGATTTCGATCTCTTGCAAGTTTGCATCCCTCCAGAAGAGCCACTGCCTCCGCATCCAAAGAAGTCTCCGCATGGAAAGAGACAGATTTTGCCCCAATAAAACTCCCCTCAGAGTTGCGGATAATAATGCCAGCCCCCGCACGGCAAGAGTTCTGATGCCAAGCAGCGTCGACATTGATTTTGGCAAGAGAAGTGGGAGGAGCAATCCACCTAGCTTGTGGAGTTTGACTGTTATTCCTCGAATTGGGATGGGCAATGTTATGCTTCAGTAATAATCGCTCGTTCACTTGTTTCTTTTTTTTTAAATTTTATTTTAAATTTTAAGAGTCCGACTTGTTTCTCCTTCTAGCTTTGTTAACTTGTACGGGCCTTGGCTCTGATACCACCGAGATAGACTTGAGAGCCCTTTGGGGGTGGGGGTTGCAATTGTCAAAGACCGCCCTGTTCCTAGTCTTCCATATTGTCCAGCACGTGAGTGCAATATGATTCAAAACATAGTTTCTCTCATGAAATATGAAACTTCCCTTTGCATCACAGTTTTCCAAGCAAGTTCTTGTTCCTGCGTGCTACTCTCTTTTTTTAACCCCAAAAAAAAAAAAAAAACAATCTTCCAAGCAAGTTTGTGTTCCCCGCGTGCTCTCCTCTCCCAAGTTCCCAACGTTGCTTTTCCCAAATCCTTTCTTCTTTTCTTTGACCAAATCGTTTCTTTACTTGTTCTTTCCAACTTCTTCTTTGCCAAGGTCAAAAACGTGCTCTGCTCCTCATCTCTCTCCTATTAGAAATCATGTCTTGTATTTGGAATATGAAGCCATGATTGCAAGAAGGAACCTAGAAAATAAGGTGAATTCCTAATTTGTCAATGCTTTCCATATATTATTTTTGTAGTTATTTGACCAGACTTTTTTGGTTCTTTCTTGTCTTTGTGAAGATCAGGTGAAAACTTCAAAATCAAGTTATATTGTCCCTTTTTTATGTTATGTTTTTGTTATTATGATTTTGGTTTAATTTATGGATTTTGAAAGTTAAGAAATTGTTATTTTACTTATATGTATAGGGCCTCATCATTTTTCTTTGCACAGGGCCTCCAAATCTAATGGACCGGCCCTGGACTATGGCATGTACTATATGAGAAAAAAAAATAAAGACAAATAGACCAACTCTATGATAAAGTAAGTAAAAGAAAAATGAACTTAACCATTTGGCTGGGTTGTGTTGACTTGTGATAACTTTATTAATAAGCTTGAAAGTCTTGGTAATATGTAACGTCAAATTGTAAATATGTCAACTAAGAAATCATAATTTAATCCCTCCATCTTGTTAGTCTTGATGGTAGGCCCTTATATATAGCATGTTATAATGATCTCC